AGAATGCAGAATCTTCGATTTCGCATGTTTAGCCATCCCACCATTCGGAGAGTGTGACTTATATGCTCAAATTTTCTTACACCGAATATCAGCTTAAAACAGCAGTTATGTCATTTCTGAATACGAAAAATATCAATGTGTGTATCAAAACATGGATTAAAGAAAACATGACATAATATTGAAGTAAGCCTTTTTGAAGGCATTTAGATATATGATTTGAAAACCGCAATTCGCTATACAGTAGACCTAAATTTTTTACGGTGTCATTATACTGAATTACTTTTTCGTTTATAAAAATTAATTCTGTAAATGGAAATAGAAAGGAACTTTTGTTTTTCTTACAATGTAAAAACGGAGTTGTCAGCGTTTAGTTGCATTCAGTGCTTCTCCGAAATATTCTGAATATTGTACAAATCGTGATTAACACTTTCAGCGCCTGTGCCCATTGCTCTAGATAATATAATAAATAAATTTGTGTCTCATCGGCATAATAATGAATTAGACAAGAAAGACATGACCTTTTGCAATTTGAAATATGTGCAGAGAAATGGATCGGGCCTAATATAGATCCCGGTGGAACGCCTTTATTGAGATATAGAAAGGGAGATAACTTTGAGTTGTAAGAGGTTAGCGCCAAAATTTCCCGGCCTGACATAGATGCAGCTCGAGTATCACGTCTTTTTTTTAATATATATCTTAGTAGGCTGCCAAACAAAATTGACTTCTTGCGTCAAATAGTTTTTTATTGACAGCATTTTAAACGTGTCCGAAAAAATGTTACAATGTTAGCACCTAAAATTATTAAAGAAAGGCTGAATGGTGTGAACAGCCAAAGTTCTCCTTCGTATTCTGTAGTGAAAGAATGGGCAAAACGTTTTCGAATGGGGCAGGAGTCCCTTGAAGCACTGGTTGACCAGTGGATGTCATAACGGAAGATATTGTTGCGATTGTGGAAGAGGTGGTATTGAGTGATCGACGTTTAAAGGTCAAAAATGTTACTCTACTTTGTTCCTTTCATATTCGGGCCAAAAAATTTTGGCGCTCCTATCGTATGTCACTGCTTGAACCCTATTACTGAGATAACTAGAAAGTAGATTTATTGCGTTTACAGGAAAACCTATTGTGATAGTTTAAAAATTGGTCGGAGTGTACTATGTGGTGGTGATGTGCGCAGCGCCCTCTATTGCCGATTCTCGGAGACGTCGGCGAAGGAGCCCGGAGTGGCCAGTTCCTTTCTAGAGGAGGAACTGTGTTGACGTGCTATTTGACTGTTTGTTGGATTTTGATCGGCCGGACCAGAATCGGTGCGACCGGTCCATGCAATTTGTATTTTTCTGTTTTTTTTTTCACGAATAGTAATACACTCCGTTAGTATAGTATAGTGTGTGTATTGTTTTCGCTGCTTCTGAAACCGGTGTGCTTCGGTAGAAACACATCCATCACACTATGTAATGTAAAACTGCGGTTAGTAAAGAATTATTGAGCGTATTAAAATCGTTTGAATAATTCAAGAGAGGCAAAATAGTAAGTTTACCTTCAATTTGACCTTTAAAAATATCATCGGTAATTTTCAAAAGGGCAAATATTTCTGTAGATGTGAGTTAATTACTTTTCGAAAGATTTTAGATAATGGGAGAATACTGATAGGTCTGATAATATTAAAATTGGTTGGATATGCTATTTTGGGCAACGAAATAAGGCTTTTTTCCATTGATCGGGAAATTTTTGTTAACAAAATTGTGTGTGTGTTGTGGATATGGGAACAAAAAGTTTTATTGATTAATTCACCCTTACAGCTTTAGTTCTAATATTATTTATTATGTTTAATATTTCGATTTCCTGAACACCTGTAAAGGAGAAATTAAGGCTTGAGCGTATTTGTTTCTTCGATAATAATTAATTCCGTATCCGGCAATACATTAGGTATGCTATTAATGAAGTGTTTGTTTATATTTATATTTTCAACACAAAATAACTGATCCGCATAATTTTGTTTCAATGGTGCATCTGTATCGAGAAACATTAAAATATTATTACTCAAAAATTACACTTTATCTTCGGCATTTTCAAAATCAAGAATATAGTTCCACGGTATAGCCATTAGATCGGATTTAAGACTCTCTTAATTCAGTTTTTTCAAGTTTCTGAACGTCTTAAATGAAACTGTCGTTCTATTGGACCCAATATTTAGTACATAATAAATTAAATCATGGTCGCTCGGACTATCAACATGAATTAGCCCCTTATCTATAACAAAACCAGTAGTTACAATATACTCTAAAAGTGTCGCCGGGTAATTTTAGTTGGTTGGTCGATGAGTTGGGTTATACTCAAAGAATCAGCAAAGCGGTTAAAAAAACTTGTCTTCAATATTTCCATTATCAAGTAAATTAATATTAAAATCATCTACCCCGAAAATACCATCGATAGTGGTATATAAATTTGATAGTCATTAGAGAAACTAATATAATCAAAATTAGGAGGACGATATTCAACAAAAATCCTCAAGTTAGTATTTTGCAATTTAGTATTCAATGAAAGAAACTCTTGGGAACTACTTTTATTTAGTAATTTATATGAAATTGAATACTACATAAAATCCCACAGCACCTCCTGGACTAAATTTCCTGTCAGATCTTACAAAGTTATAGCCATCAACTTTCAAACTGTCATTAGATATCGGACAATTAAGCCACGTTTCCGTTATACCATATGTATTTATAATGATTTCCAATAACATTTCTTTAAAAACAAAAAAGTTGGTTGCTAACCATCCCACATTAAGATGAGCAATTTTTAAAATATTGTTAGACATAATAATTATTTATTAACACAATATTTTTACTTAATATTGTTATAGCTATTTAGTATAATATTCTTAAGTAGCAATCGAAGGTCAATATGTCACTCAACGAAAATTGAATATAAGAGCTTAACACGAACTAGAAGAAAAAATTATATTAAAATAGAAAAACTCAAAAAAAACTACTGTGAACTGGTTTATTAAATTGTCCTTACCGATGTTTACTAAGAGACACACGCAAGCTAAATAACTTACGCTTATTCAAAGAAATTGAAATGAAAAGAAAAAATTTATATACCAAATATGAAATGAAAAAAAAAACTAGAAACAATTGAAACGTTAGAATTCCTGCGGAGGAATCCTGATCAGTTGAAAATAAAATTAGTTTAGGAGATGCCTACGGCTTATTTTTTTTTGGAATTCGGGCTCTTGTAGCCATAAATCATTACCACATTTTATTAACACATCCCGGGACGCAGAGGGCAATTAAAACATACAAATAAAAAGACTTTTCAAAGGATTTTAATTTTATTTCATTAACAATTTAAAAGGAATTGTATGTATCTTTGTTGTCTTACAGTATACAAAGTGGCCTAAAGTTCTCTAATTTTGAAATATCCAAAAACAGTAGACAATAAAAAAAAAAGTTTTTCAGCATATACTAAAACAACGACCCCGATATTTCTTGGACCGCTTTGTACATCAAAACGTTCCGACTTCATTCCTATTGCGATTTGTACTACAAATTATTACTATTAAAAAGGTTTGTGTGTTTCACAGTCGATGGTCTTTAGACCTTTAAGGCGAACGGTACATTGGATGGTTCTGTAAATTTAGCCAGTTCGACATATCATACAGGGTTGGTCAAACTAATGATTTGCCTACGAATGTAGAAAAATGGTGAAAAGTGCAAAGCGCGCACATTCCACGAGAAAATTAAATTCCCTTTCGAAACCTAAACCGTTTGGTTTCTGAAATAAAGTTTCTCTGAAAAAAAAAAATTTTGACAGTTCAATAAAGATTGATTGTGCAAATTTTTTCTACACAATCGGATCAAAATGGACGAAAATCAGTATTATAATGCTGTTTTAATATAAAAAATTAATGAACATTTTAGTACAAGTTGCAAATAAGTTGAAATCCCATTAGATTTTCTTTATGGGTGTTTTTCATCTTGGTATTGGTGGATATTAACGTTAAGTCTCCTTATAGGGCTTTGGAATTTTTGCAAACACCTAAACAGGTTGATTCTGTTCATCAACGCCCAGAATTGAAGGAAAATATTGAAGGTAAGTATTGGATAAATGCATTGCATAAGAAGAGGTCAAAAATATCACTGAACCAGTGAAAGTCTTGTAGCAATTTCTTTCGATATTTCTGTTTTTCCAAATATTATTGCGTTTATACTACTGGCTATAATTGTGGAGCCTCTCCTACAACGACACAAATTGAAAAACCGTCATAACTTTTTTGTAAGCCGTTTCTGTGCAATGTATCTCATAGCTTGAATGCTTTTTCAGTATTTGTTGCTATAAGCATTTTGGTTTTAAGAGGCTGCTCCTGTAAAGCGATGTACAGAACAGAAATTAATGAGAATTCCGCTCAAAATTTCAACTCTCACTTTCTTATATCAAACAGGAAGCTTTTGAGGACAAGTGCAAGCTGAGTAAATCTCCTATGTTTTATTCATTTTTTTTTTCATTTGTTGACAGTAAAGTTTGATCTAATCTTAGAATCAGATATGATACATGGAATATCCTTTCCAAAATAAAAAATGTTTTGTTCCTCCTTATTTGTTCTATGAAAAACGTACTGCTGCAGTTTTTAAAACCATGTTATTGGTTCTTAAATTTTGAACGTTCTGTAGCCTATAAATCGATTGTCATTATCAAAAACCTAGCGAACCAAGGAAGAAGAACTCCTACTACGTCGGTTGTTGACAAATCAAACTTGCTGATGTTTCGCCTTTCATCCTGCTAGCTTAACTAAAATAGTTTCAGTAAGTTTAATTTATCAACAACCGATGAAGGAGGAAGAAGAAAAAAAATATTAAGGAAGAAGGGTTACGTCAGCTTAGTTTAGTGAGTGTTTTAGTCAGGAATTCCCGAAAGGCGGTGGTAACTGATGTAATCAAGTTAACATATGCAATTTATTTAATATCTATAAAATTTCAGAATCCAATAAATGGTTGCTGGCCGTACTTGTAATAAACGTCGTTCCACATGGCCATTTGCTTTGCCTTTCTGTTTGGCTTCACCGCGATCTCATCATCCAAGTCTAAATACTGGATACTGGTCGGTGAAGCTTGCGGCCACGTGAGGTTGAACAGAGGATCAGTTGCGTCGGGTGTGGGGTTCCTGAAATTACCAACGCGATATATTCAAGAGTTTGTGAACAATTAACAATGAAGGGGTGTTTAACTATATAATTGTATAATACTCAGTTAACAAACCACCGATACAAACACATATAATAATTCCATCAGAAACGAGGTTTAACAAGTAATATGCGAATAGTGGAACCATGGTAAAAAACAGACATGAGACAGAACAATCGCAATTACACCACAGTTAAGATAAGGTTCTGGACCCTAGTTCTGCTAACCGAGCATCATCCTTTGTCCTTTATCTTGGTTCAATGCTATATTACCGCACTTGAGAGTCTCTATGCTCTGAAACTTATCTATTAGAGACATTAGTTCCTATATTATAATTGTTGGCTAAAGCATGTGGCCCAACAGTTCGATTTCTCACTGCTGCAGTATTTCAAATGTACTTAACACGAATATTACAATATTTAAAAAAAGTTCTGGATTCCTCCAGCATAGATTGTTGTTGAATCGAATTTGCTGATGTTTCGCCAATCAACCTGTTGGGTTCATCACAGCTTAAATGTTATGTTTGAGGGGTTTGGTTGCTTATAGGTTCCTATAGATTATCGGATTTTTTATTGGTAGAAGAATTGATTACATGCAAGAATTTTAATTTTATCGAATGAAATTTGATGTCCAGTTTCGTGATTGTGTTCGGCAACTGCTGATGGGTATATTTGTCGTAGTGTTAAGGCTCTTTCATGTTCTTTGAGCCTTGTTGATATTCTTCGTTCAGTCTTTCCAATGTGTTCTTTGCCGCCTATCCAGGGAATCCTTTTATCTCAAACGGAATTTTGCTTTTGATGGATCGAAGATGTTGACAGATTTCAGGACAAGTGGTAAATCTGGTTTTGAGGCTGTACTTCTTAAGAACTCTTGATATGTGGTCAGTGATGCTTTGAATGTAAAGAAGGACAACAGTGGCAAGTTTGGAGTGGCTTTCAGACTCGTGTTCTTTGGAAGATTATTTATCAGCAGGTACAAAGTAGAATGCGAGCCAGTTTCAGTTTTGCTCTGAGGAAGAAAACATAATGATTGTAGAAACTTCAGAAAGTTCGATTCATCAACAACCGATGCAGGAGGAATCCAGAAGATTTGTAAATAGTATTACAGTAGTCTATGGAAGTTTCTTTGTGGAAAAATGGAATACGTGCAAGAATTCTAGTTTTATTTTTCGGTCAACATATACCAGATGGTTTAGAATGGATGGCCTATTGGAAGTATCTGGCCAACGTATCAACGAAGGTGCTTGCTGAGTTTAAAAGGCACCCTCTGTATATGAGAGAAATAGAATTTTGTATGGGTGTTCTAGAAACACGGTATATTGTGTTTTCTAAATAACACACCCTGAATATTCTTTCTGTATAGTAAGCTTACCAGGGACTGTCTGCACTTGAAAGTACTTGAAAATATTTTGGGGAAATAGTGGAGACAATAACATTAACTGAGAAATTCTTCAGAAATAGCGAAGGGCAATTGTATATCTCCGACTCTTACGTTGACGTTGTATTCGCCGTTTTTTTACTTATGAAAGAGGAAACAATATGCAATTTCCTTTCCTTGATGAATTTATAACAAATTAATGTAATTAGTGTAATTGATGTAATGTAATGATTGCGAAACCGAAGTCTGTAGGGCAAACAATCCAATTATTATTCTGAGAGAGAATGTAATTGGATGGAATGGATACGTAGACTGTAGATATCTTAGTTTAGAGAGTTAAGTTTATATCATCGGATGATGAAGCTAACTTTGTTAAAGAAATGCGCTAGCAGTTGCTACTATAACCTCGGTAATATCACTTACAAAGTTTTGGCAAAGTTAGTCCATAGTCTAACCATCTGCTTGCTGATCAGGATTTCTCGATCAGTGAGCCACGGAATCTCGTTAAAAAGGTATAGGGTATCTTCCACGTGACCCGCTCTGCCAGCACCGGAAGCAAATTTTAATTACCTCAACCTCTGCAAATATCGACTAAATATAGGTACCTTCGATAACTGGCAGAAGGTTGCTCAAGAATCCCGCGAAGGAAAATTGATAAAGATATACGGGGGTAACATTTGACTGAAGTTCCACTTGCTTCAATGTTGACTTGACGAACATCAAGTCGCTGGTTATCTGAAAGCAGACTTTGATGCTATGCTCCGCTGTTTTGAGGGGTGTTATAATTAATCTTTCAAAGAATACATTTTTAATTCATTTCGTTTAGCATTTTCAATAGTTAAATTGTAATCGCCAATATCTTGTCAAATTTTGATTAATTTTTAAAATATTTAACGCCCATTCTCCTATTTGGGATTTTTTATGGATGTACACGATACGAATTTGTACCGTAAATTTGTAATTATAATTTTGAAAATTCCACACTTGTAATTACATAGGTCTACAAAATTAAACTTTTTGACAGATTTATTTATTTTGAAAACTGTTATTATGTAATTTTGGTAGGCTGATTTCCAAAAAAACTTTACTCAGACTTTGGTGAGTGAAATGTTCGTCTTTTTGAAAGAAAGCTGAGTTGTCCGAACATTCGACTGTGTGTTTCATTTCCTTAATGTCCTGATGAAACCTCTCTCCCTGTTATTCACTAACTACTCCAACATTTTCAGGAAATTAGTTCAAGTGTGAAAACAGGAACTACGTTTTCAAATTTATATTACAACCCAAGAAACTTACTTCTTTAAATTGCTAATTATCTTTTGAAAATCCTTGCCTTTGCATAATGTTCTTTTATCTTGGCATCAGATATGGCGGGAAACTGTTCGCACAAATAGTTGAAACACTGTCCATTTTTGTCCAGGGCTTTAACAAACTGCTATAAAAATTTATATAACCCCCCTATCCCCCTATTTAATTCGCTCTAGTTACCCACTTCTAGCTCTCCGAAATATGGTGTAATCAGATACACAATTCGTTTCTTATTTTTTCGGTTGAATCCTTGAACATTACAAGAATAAAAATAACAATCATCACTGCGTTTGCTAGGCTCTAAACATACCAACACCACCAATGGCGAAAATGCAGCATTTGCAAACGAATGAATTTAATGGCAATGATGGTAATGAAATATATGTAATATTTAGAAACTATTTTATTCCCCCTTTTTATATTCAGTACTCTGAATTTAGTAGTTTTTTAGGAGCCATCATCCTCTATTAATGCGGGTAAATAACGCATCGCATCTGGGTTGAGATGGTTTTAAGGTTTGGACGCAAGAGAAGGGTGATTAAACAATGCATTAAGATATCTGTTTGTTTGCGTAGGTTTTCTGTAAACTGAATGTTAGGTTTCATTTTCTATTAATAAGAATATCTAACAATGGGAGATTATTATACTGCGTGACTCTTGGCCATGATGTCAAATAACAAAAGTATCATCAAGGACTTCCTACTCAAAGAACCCATAGCTGTTCCTGACATTTGTTCATAAATTTGGAAATTACAAGAAAAATATGATGCAGACAACCATTTTTCAGTAAAGATGAGATTTTAATTAACTCATATTGATGAAATAATGTTGAGAGTTTAATAAATTGGAACTTTATTCCAATTTGAAATCAACTAAATCCAGGTCCGGCACTCCTTAAAATTCCTTACACATAGATAACTCTAATAATCATAACTTACTTCTACAACGGCAGCCAAATTTTCACTAAACGATCCGTTTGGACCCACATATGCGTCTTTAATTATGGACCCAACGTCGGTCGCGTTAGTGCCAACCAATAGTAGCAGATCGGAAGGTATTATGGCGGTCAAATCCGAATCAAACTTTGCTGCCTCTGCCTTAACTGCTGGCACTCCTAAAAAATTCCATATATAAGAAATAAGAAAGTTTATAAAGTGCTTCAATTAATAACAAAAACCATCGAGATTTTGATTATTGTAATTCTCCAGTCAAAATCAAAAATGCATACAAAAATAAAATGTGAAACAAAATTAATAAATAAATTAATAGGGTCTAATTAAAATGGGCATACTTTTCAATAATTCAAAGTTAATGTTTGTTTGAAATTTGGTTTGCTTTCTAAATTGGTATAAATATGAAATTCGTGAAGGAGAATCTGAACGGGACTGACTATATCTCGCTTATTTAATACAATTATGAACAATTGCTGTCATAAATGTTGCATAAAATCAAATATTTTTAATAGTTAAGGTGTTGTTTAATTACTCCAAATCAAATAAACATAAAATATAAAATAAATAATACTTAAGCACTATTTATAATTGCAAATATTTTTCAATTGTTTGTTCTTATTCGATATTTATTTAAAGCTGCAGCGGGCACACTGTAATCTTACGTTACTGCGCTTAAACCTATATAGAACTGAAGATTTATTTCTTGCAAACAAAGTTTCTAACTATTTACACACTACTATTCCACTATACACACTGCCAATAATTTATTTAAATTGGATTTATATCAGTTGATTATTTATAGTTCCGCGATGCACGGTTTTTCTTTTTGACTGACTAGTCGGATAGCGATGGTGAGTTCTTGGAATGTATACCGGGCCGGGTCTAGCCCATTCACCTCTCTCGTCGTTAAAAATGTGGATTTCCGGACGTGTGGAGTTGCTATGAAAGTTTCCAGTAAATCAAGATTTGTAACTCACCGCCCTGCACAGCAAAGGTGTTAAGTGATTCTGCTGATGTGGTTCCAATTATTAGAGGAACTTGATTAAAATTTCCAGACTCTAGTAGGGAAAAACTGAGGCTTGTGACGTAAGCATCTTCGTGTTCAACTTCAATGGCTATACCTGTCTACAATAAAAAACATTATTTTGGTTACCACAAAATATTTGTTTTATCTAAGAAATACAACAGACAAAATTATTGTTCTTTATAATGATTTGCATGAAATACTATGTACTACGTGGTCGTGAAGAAGATACAACGAACAAAGGCAAATACGTTTACCTTACTTTCTGGAGAATGAAGTTTAACAGTGGGTAAAGGTGCAATGAGTGTCTAAGAAGCTGTAAGAATTGCGTTCCACCAACTTTTTCGCTTAGGGAAGATAATGGTGGACTCATTCTAGATGCGTTACGTGAAAGCAGTACGCAGACACCGCGTATAGTCTTGAAAATATTCTATTCCATTCGAATGGTTAAGGTATATTTCCACAAAACAGTACTCCTAGAAAAAGTTTTGCGGGTCATCCTTTCTCTTTGCTTAGAGACTCAGTTCGGTTTTATCAAGCGTCTGGGTTACAAGAGAATCTATAGTTTCCAGGAAGTTCTACAAAACTGTTACAACCAAGAGCGTAGATTATCCCAAAGCTTTTAATAATACTAAGCACGATCGATCTTCTTTTGGAGAGGTTTCAAGAAATTGACATAGTTTATACTGAGGGGTGCAAATTAACAACGAACTAACTACAGAATCATTTAATGTGCCCAAGGAATGCACGAACGTCACCAATTTAAAAACTGTGTAGAAGAAATTTATTATGTTGTTCTGGACGAAGAGAACAAACAACTCAACGAATCAATGGAATTCCAATTTCAATTGAATTCGACACCTTGAAATTTAGTGGACTTCCTCCTATTTCCTCACATATGCTTAGAAATGGCATGTACTAGATTCATCAGTCCGGTTTATAAAAGATTTTTGTGGAATAAAACATGCTGCCACACTTTTTCGCCATGGAGAGAAGGGCACCCTGAGCATGGTATGAGAGATGTACAAATTATCGAGTATATAGCGGAAAAGTAGAAGAAGCCTTGCAACGACTGGTTTATTAGTAGCACTCAAGCTGCGAAAAGTGCCTTCTCTTTTGAAGTTTGAGTGGCTGGCAAGAGGCGCTATCCATGTTAAGAAGCTGAAAACGAAAGGGCAAACCTTCTAGCAAGGAATCGGGTAGGAAAGGTGTAATAATTTATTCATTCAAATCATTAAGGAAAACTACGTTAACAAACTCTAGATTCTTCTTGAATAATAAGTAGTATGACTTTTTTTATACTTACACGAGTATTTGCTGCGAATGCCGGAGTCAGCACATCCGCCGGGAGACTTTGTAAAAAATCCCGAATTTCAGTGGTCGAGTTTTTATCAGAAATCGTCGGATCCAAATATTTGGCGTAGTCGTACGCTGCTTTCCGCGAATCGTTTTGGTTCGTAATGTCCAAATAAGTCAGCGAACAGCCGCTCTGACAAATCGCTGCTCTGTACAATCCCGCCGACTTAGTGTTTACAATGTGCGCTCCCACTGATATACCACCTGCGCTTTCACCAAATAAGGTTATTTTTTCCGGATCGCCACCAAAAAGTGCGATATTATTCTTGGTCCATTTCATCGCCAGCAATTGGTCTTTCAGCCCAGCGTTGCCCAAAACGACGTCGTCTTGGGTGGATAGGAAACCGTACAATCCCAACCTATAGTTGGCGTAGACGATTATTACGTCCTCGTCTAGGAGAGAAAATGGCCCAGTCGTAACGTCAGATGTGCATCCGATGGTGAAACCACCTCCGTATATCCATAACATTACTGGCAATTTCTCGATGATCTAGGAAAGAGTTAAAGGCAAGTCTAATCGTGTCAAAATTGAAGAGAATTCAGAGAAGATTCTTCAAGTGGTATCTGTGGTGGAAACTAGATTCAACACAGTGAGTTTGGTCAACCCAGTTAGCGTAATCAGCAGTTGCTATGAACTATACTATGTGCTAAGTCTACTTCTAGTGACGCTGGCTCCTTGAGAAGGGTGTGAGAAATGGATACTGTGTTTTGAAGTAGGCAAGTTTCTTTAATAAACGGGGAAGTTTTCTGAATTTCGGAATCGACCATAGGTGCGGATAAATCCTAATAAAATAGATTTTGTTTTAACTTTTGACCACTAATGGAAGGCTAGTAACAAGATCAGAAAAAATCCTATTTACAAAACTTCTGAATTCCGTCTTATCAAAGATTTTTTTCTGCTCTCTTCAGGAATGATTTGTACTTCTCAAGTATATGGCATCCGGTTTCTCCAGAGAACGTCCATCGGAATCTTGTTTAGAGTAGATATTTGAGCATTCCTTCGAATCACACTTCTGGCGTCTTCATCAATGAGTTTTACTGATTTTTCAAAGAAACTTTCACAGGCTACTCTAATACTATTTACAAAACCTTTGGATTCTTCCTACGTCGGTTGATGTTCAGTCAAACTTACTAACGGTTCGCCCTTCATCCTGTTGGCTTCTTCGGAGCTTAATTGAAACTGTTTCCAACAGGATGATTGGCGAAATGTTAGCAGCTTTTCTTTGAAAAGTCAATTAAAATCATTTACGATGAACCCAAAAGCGTGTTTCGAAGGAATGCTCAAACAAATATCTACGTTAAACAAGATTCTAATGGATTTAAACCATATACCGTAAACTTGAGAATTATAAAGCATATCTGAAGAGAGCAGAAAAAATCTTTGATGACACTTGTTTATAAAAAATTGGCAAGACATAAATATAGGCTAGGCTTTCATGGAACGCAGGTGCCTTCAGAAAAAAAAGAGGAAAATAGTAATCGTCTACATTGAAAAGAGAGACTGCTAAAAAAAGGATTGTTAACATTGCCAGGAGCACATGAGAATTCCGATTTTTTTGAAGCCTGTCATTAAGAGAAAAAGCAGGGATTTTGGCAGTTCCTCAGACAACGAAGAATATTACAATTTTTTATAATTTAATTCTGTATTAAGTATTTTGTGTATAACTTCAGAACAATTTGCGTGATCGTAAACGTAGAATTGACTTTCTGACATGGCACATTTAAGAAGAAGGGAAAGAGTGTTTTTCAAGCTCTTGGAACACCTATACCCTTATGTCTTCATCACCAGTTAACAACGCTCGACTACAAATAGCTTTACTTTGGATAATTTAAACTCAGTCTATTGTCGTTTCATGCGGTCTAATAAAGGATATTTTTATTCCAGTTTGTTTACAAATTATCAGATTTTTTAAAAAATGAAGAGATTTTATTTGTACTATTTTTATAAATTTACTTTAATTTGCAGTTTATTTACCTTTAAGCGATTCACAAATATCTTTTCATATTTTCTATTGTGACATCCGAAAGTTTGATCACATTTTGCCAGTATATTGACTTTATTAGAGTAGCAATTTCTACGATGTATTGGCTGATTTGTCGGTCTTACACATAACTGGCAAAAAGCATTTTTTTAAAAGAATTACCTATTAACAGATAATTAAAAGAATTTTGAAAAATGAACAATTGACCAACAAATTGACGCAATGGATAAAGATATTCCAATGAAATTGTTGGCAATCTATTTATTATCTATTATAAAAAGTGATATCAGAATTTTATTGGAATTATCTTCATCCATTGTTTTCTCCTTCCTTTTTAAACAATGGTGAAACATTTGTTTTTTAAAATGCAAGGAATATTGTCAAATTTTCATGAATACCATGTTATGTGTACCTAATGCTTACAAATTTGTCGATTTAATTGGATTAGCTTGTCGCCATGATTTTCTGGGCTCTGTGGCAAAAGTCGTTAGTCTCCAGCGAACTAGTATTAAGATATTATCTCCTAAACCGATAGAAGCAGGTACAGAATGATGATGTAGCATCACAACAATGAGATACCCTGTACGACATCCATACGGAACCATTTGTACTCGCCTTTCTTGCAGGCGTGTACACATTGAGATATAAACAATCTTCACTCATCTGGTCATTTGGCGACATGGATATGCAACAGCTCTGTGTTTCGTTTGCCTCCAAGATGCCGTCCCACGGTTTAGGCGGTACCGGGCCCTGAGAATAGAGAAAGGTTTGACTCTCATTCTCTCCTTACAAGTAGGATGAACAAGCTAGTGACGAGCCACCCACATTCCTACAAACATTATTTACCTAATATCTAAATACCCTAAATAGGAAAATACTGTTATCGAATCTATATTACAGACAATCCGTATAAGGATAATCTTAGCAAACTGATTCCTGAAGTTTTAGAAATTGAAAAGAATCATAAAAAAAGTAAAATACGAAACTACTACAAAGAGTTATAGTAAAATCGAGAAAGATGTCAAACTATCTTACACTTATTGTCAAATATTTTATGTGAAAGAGCTTTCTTATGCTAGTTGGCTGACATTTATAGACTGTCAGACCTAAATTTGTAGCAAATCTGTAGCTACCGTCCTTGCTATAGAAGAGAAGGAAGTTCTGATTTGTTATTTGGTTAGTGCAGACAGACTAATCCAAGAAATTATCACAATATTTCAGAATTATAAATATTTTAAAAAATTACAATACATCACAGTGAAAGTATCCACTACAAAATACGCACGTATTATAACAAAGTAAGGAAATCAAAATTGTACACTTATGGTAGCGCAAACAATTAAGAAAAAACATTCAATATGTATTTATTACCCACAAATATTTTAATAATCTTAATGATATCACTTTCCATTTGAACGGTATATTTTCAATATACAGACTTTGAAAGTTTGCTTTTTATTTGTTGCATGTCACACTGTTATCTAAATATATTTTTAGCACTAAAGCTTATAGAAGAAACAAAAAAAATGGGATCTTGTTGATATATCGATCAACCCATTTTTTTTCTGCCGAACGTCAATGGACTTGAAAGTAGTTTTTTTAGTTTCGTTTGTTTTTTTTTCTAAATTATTCGTCTCTTGTAAAATTTCGATTTAAACCTTCATCAGATTAATTGTATTGTATATTACACCAATAAAAGGGGTATAAAATAAATATATAGAGATATAAATCATTAATGAAAATGGTTCTAAAATATAACCTAGGATAACTCCTCTATTCGTTTATAAAACTCATGAGACTCATTGGAAGCTGATCAACACAAACAAATCTTTTAAAAACAACCGCTTGGCTCACTTCTTTCTAGACTCCCATATCAAGTTCTGTAACACGTTAAGCAATGTAGTCTTAGTCGATAATGTTTTTCGAAAACCGAATAGGGACTGGCACCAAATATCGATTTTTTTCGGTACGATGCCTCAGAGAAATATACGATATCTTGAAAAAAAAAACAAATTCTTGTGATCCCTTTTTACCTTTCCAGGGATGTATTACAAGTTATTCCGAAATATTAGAGAAAATATCTTTATGCCGTAGTAGGCCATGATTATTTCAATCATTAATAAAATATTTCTATGGGTTGTTAAACGAAATTTACTAATCTCAGTGTTTCAGGTAAAAATTCAAGGGATATATTAAAAATCAACCTTCAACCCCACATCATTAGGGAGTTTGAGTGTGAGACTTGAATTGTGTGTAGTAGATTAATTTCGAAGATCATTTTGGTCGAGTTATATCATATATAATTCTTCTTTATTACTGATATCAGTTATACTTCACATGTTACACGACAGAGTGATTCACAAGCAATCAAAAGGTTTGAAAAACAGATTTATAACTCTACCACGAATACATAATTTTGCAGCCAAATGCTTAAACCATATCTAAAAGTCATCCGCAAAATAATTTATTGGATATTTGAGTAACAAATGGCATTCAATCCGTTTGTTTTTGTTAATGTGGCGGCCCTTGTTTCGCTTTCAAATATTTGTACATTTAATTGATTATATCATTTAATTGATAGCTGTATAAAACTGGAATGGGCTTAATTGACTGTTTATGTTTACGATAATTTATGATAATTTCCAGAAATTATAAGGCAAGGCGAGAAATGTTCTATATACGCCTATAGATACCTGGAATCTTAGTTTTCCCAGAGGAGGAGTTGCAAAAGGAATTCCTCTATAGCCGTAATAACTCTTGTTCTGGTAGGTAATCTCGGATCCTCGAATTGTCCCATCGGGAAGATCGACGATTAAATCTTGTGCTAGCTAATTTAATTTTTCAAATAATTAAATCATAGTTACGGTTTTTACAGTCAAGGCAACAATAAAAGATTCGTTCACAATCAAAGAATCAATTAACGTTATTAGTATTAGACAAAGTAAAATTTAATTAACTTATGTGACTTACGGCGACTGAAACAAATACAACACTCAGTAGTCTATGCATGTTTGTTGTCGCACATTGAAGGATACCACTACAAAATTTTATTTTTATATATTGCATAAGGTTGCTGATAAGATGAAATCTCATCAATGAACATTTCTAGTACGAATTGTTGGTCTAGTAAATGTGCTTGTGGTCCAAACTTGGAAACGAAGGCAGTTTTGTCATTTTTTCGTGAAAAGTAAAACAAAAAAAAGTTGAAAATGCCAACTTTCCTTTCATACTCAATATTTTCTGTTATAAATAACAATTTCATACCAAAAAATGTCTGTAAATTATTAAATATCAATTATTTATATTTTATTATATAATTAAATTAAACAGTTTGTTCTAGAGAAAGAAAAGGTCTTATTAGTAACGGTGTCCGTATTGAGACCTTCCCGCCAGCTAGTGTTAGTGGCTATTACTAGACACTAATTATTACGTGTCGACAAACACACCTTGTTGAGTTTTTACTAGCAATTCTTCTATTTAAGATTATGAACGCTATTTGAAGTAGAGTTTAGTTAAGTGTGTCGTAACTCTGTTTAAGCTATAATGAACGTTCATTTGGTGGAATTACAAAAGCCTGTCCTAAATAAATCACTATTAATATTATTATTTTTTTGTCTTCTCACAACTTTTGTTGGGTTCTTTTTCACCATCAGGACTTTACTCGTCAACGACTCCTCCATGCACCATCACCATTCAGACTATGTTGCAGTATTATCGCCTTCTACACTAGCGTGGTAATTTTCTTGTGGTTTTCTATGCCCAAAAGTGGTAAACACTTGGGCATGTTCTTTTCCACAATTCCGTTTGCAGAGATTATGATTGGAATTATAGATACTTTTGCAAGTTGGTATATGCCTTAGCTATATTTTTGTCCAATGAGATGCTCACATCAACCAGAAACCCCTCTTTCTTTTGCTTTTGCTTTTGCGAGTTTTCCCTGCAACCTGATTATGCCGCTTAAGGTAATCTTTTAGCGCTAGATAACTACACGCTGATATTAAATGCTGAATCGTTTCAGGACAGCTTCCACACATTCTACAGTTTTCGTTTGGCACCGCTTGTTTTAATACTTATTTTCTGTAATTTCACGTGGGAACTACTTGTCCTGTATAGAGCTCAAGAAACCTTCAGTTTCTGGCATTTTTGGGTAAGATATAATTTGGACAGTTGTTTGTTGCCTTCAGCATCATTTAGTGCCTTATCATCCCTGCCATGTAGAGCTTTGCTTTTCCATTCTTTTTCCATATCTTTAATCGATATTTTTGTTTCAGGTCGTCGGCGGGCAGCGAGGTTGAGTGGAGAGGCACCTTCGTTTATGCGGCAGGTGGATGTGTGTAGTCTATCGGCGCTGTCTGTGAGGTAAGTAGTGAGTTTTCTTAGCAGGTTCGGATGAAATAGTTGGAGGTTTAATACTCCTCTGCCTGCCATTCTTCTTGGCAGGTACACTCTGCTTGTTGAGGATTTTGGATGGTGGATTATTATTATTATTATTATTATATAGCATTTCTTATACAGTTTTTGTGAAGTTTATGCTAATTTTATTGTTGTTAGACCATTATACATATATATATATATATATATATATATATATATATATATATATATATATATATATATATATATATATATATATATATATATATATATATATATATATATATATATATATATATATATATATATATATATATATATATATATATATATATATATATATATATATATATATATATATATATAATCATAAAAGTGATTGTAAGTTAAAACCAAATATTACTAGTTTAAGTGCTCATGTCAATGATACCGGACATAGTGTCATGTACGATGAAGCGGTAGTATTAAAGAGTGAAAAGAACCTCTTCAAACGTAAGTTTTTAGAGATGTGTTATATTAACTGTTGTAGTAATAGCCTCAACAGAAAGAAGGATGTTGAGGGTCTTAGTAGCATCTACACCTATCTTCTTAATCAGAGTCGTACTGCGAAGCATAAGCTACCAGAGTTTTTTGATACGGTCAGGTTGTAGTGGGTTGCTAAATTTGTTGCTATTAATGTTTAAAAACAGCTCCTTTCTTTGTTTCTTTCTCCCCGTTCCTAAAGGATTGTTTCTAATTACCCTAAAGGTTAACTTCAATAATGTAAACATAGTTATATAAATAGTGTACAATGGGTGCATATTTGAAAGAATTCTGTTTGAAATTCCCTCCCTTGTTCGGTGTTTTACATATGTTATGGTTGGCTGTACAGTTGGTATCTTTGACTGGTTTTTTGGTTGTGGCTTTTTTAGGTTATTGCGAATTGTTAATAAGTTCCCGCACATTTAGTTTTCCTTCTCGACAATACGGAGTGTCATTTGTAACAAATCGGCTGTTTTTTTCATCTTTTAATATTTTATCAATCCGGATATTTTATTGACCTTAACGTTTTATGTTAGTGGGATTGTTTTGTAACGTTGTTGGTGGATGTTAATATTTTTTACAATTGTAAATTTTTTCCATAAATTTCATCCATCGAGTGTTATGTTGATAGTTAGAACGGGCGAAACACTTTATTTTATATACCAATGTCATCTCTCTATATGTAGAGGTTGAAAGAGGCGTGTTGTGTAAGTTTTTTCACTATTTTTTGGTTAGATTGTTAACTCTGATGAAGTGTTTTTTTGTTCTCTATATGTCTTAGTGTCCTGATGAAGCCTGTATCCATGGGCGAAAGCTAGATATTACAATAAATTGCCACTTTACTTTGAGCTTCAACATCTTTTATTGCTCCCTTTACGGCGATCCATCGAAGTTGGGGTGATCCCAATGATTAACAGTTTATATATATATATATATATATATATATATATATATATATATATATATATATATATATATATATATATATATATATATATATATATATATATATATATATATATATATATATATATATATATATATATATATATATAAACAAATGAAAAATATGTAGAACTATAATATGGAAAAATTATTACTTGACGATTTAATTGTAGCATACATTGTTCCGAAACTATACAAAATTGTTTAGTCATTTTCGCGTCAAGTATTATAGTCCTTAATTTCAAAATAATAGTAATCTCTACACAGGAATATTGCAATTCCACCAATCTAAACGTCGCATTAAATAAAAAGAATTTTTTAAAATTATCAGAAGTGTCTGATGTCTGCACCGCTGTACAACAATTTAATTTTAATCTATTGTTTTGTCCGATAACTGTTATCATTATCTCCAAAAAAATGTGGGTTTCCTCCTCATCCAGCAGCAAGGTGTTTCAAGTCGATGACTAAACGCATGAATCATTTGAAAAACGTATCACGAAAAATTAAACGTTCTAGATGATTATTTTGGACAAGTACGTTACAGATGGCAGTAAACATAATTTGGAATATGACGCAAAAGTTGATAAATGTCTTTAAAACGGGCCGGGATCAATATCTGAAATGGAACAATATTAAAACTACAACCAAAAAATGTGATATACTCTTTGACTTCTTGCAGATTTATTATTTATTTATTTATTTATTTGGCACATGGCTATTTACATAAGCAAGTAAAATTTGCATAAACAAAACTATTCACTTCGCAAATACCCCGTAAATCTCTTCTTGAACACTCTTGGGCAAGGCGCGCCTTTAATATTATCCGGCAGCTCATTAAAATTACAAACACCATCGTAAAATAGAATTTTCTGTAAATTTGTTGTTTCTGCCATAGAAACATTGATTGGAACGTATATTATATTGATAAAAGTTTGAACTTTTTTCCAACCATATTTTGAGATAGCCTGGTTAGTGATCGTCCGCAATTCCATAAACCAACATTAAACTTGCTCTTCTAGTGAACTGCATTTAGCAACATTTAGCTAATTTAGCTGGTCTATATAGGAATATACTATCACAGTTCAGGATGATTCTCATAACCCTATTTTGTTGTAACTGTAACTTATTTAAATCTTCTTTTGTACAAGATATAAGCAACGAAAAAACATATAAAAAATGAGGCAAAATTATACTATTATACACTAATATCCTAGTCCGCTGCTATTTCATTTAAGCTATCGGCATAAATGTTTTTCATGTTTGTTTCTTCTTTGTCACTGTAATGTCCAAAATCCATATTGGTAAAATCTGCTTTTTTATTTTTAGTTCCAAGTCCTTTTAATCATCAATTTTTTGGTTATAGTATCTTTGGTTTTCATTTCTAATAACTGAAATAACATTGTTTTTTTTTCTTTTATATTCCTCCCAGTCTTCTTCACTCTTGGTGTATTTAAACTTTTTGTATGCAATGTCCGTAACATGTTGCGCCTATTGCACATGAAAACCACGGATATTTTCTTGTTTGGGTCTTGCGGAGCGGAGGTATCCTATCAAGCGCTCCCTGTACAATTCCTATAAAATCCACATATATTTTCTTAACATCCGTGGATGTGTAATTGCAATTTTGACCAATAAGTGCTTCCCGTATTTGATTAATATTTTGAGAGCTTATATTTCTGATATAAACATCCTCACTTACTAGTGTCTTGCTTCGAACTTCCACTTGAACGCCAATAGTTTCGTCGTTACTGATAACAGGAAAGTTTCTCGGGACCTCCTCTACGTTGAAGTCATTTGTTATTATCTGATCGATTAGTGTAGCTGAACTTACGGTAACTCGTGTTGACTTTGTTACTATTTGCTTAAAACTAGTTGAATTAACAACGGACTGAAGATATGAACAGTTATTTTGAATTCTATCTACATGTCTTCTAGATTTCTCCTGCATTGGAGAAACAGGACTGGGCTAACAGAACATGTAAGAGCCAAAAGACTGGGACAAATAAACTCATCAACCCAACACAATCATTAAACCGGAAATCAAATCTTAGGTGATTATACTAAAATTCTTGAACATAATCACCTCTTCTGCCAAGAGAATCCATAGAAATCACGAATAATCGCAACCCCTTGTTTCCATTTCCAGTTTTATTTCACAAACCTAAAGCCATCAAAAGAGTAAT